TAAATATGCAGGAAAAAGATAGAAATCCGATCTATTCCTTTTTGTATCCCTAGGATCTAGAACATAGGAGCTCAATAAATGGATGAGTATTTGAATCAAACAGAGAAGGTACAAAAATAGGGCACATATAATAGACTGGCAAATGGCCACAAATTCTCCTGACTCTTTGTAATGTGACTGTTACCACTGCTATCATCAAGAAAGTGGAGTCTACTTCACTCTGTGAATCTGGGCTTGATTTTTTCTGGCTGATGAGATATTAGCAAACAACATCAGAAGGGCTGGGACATTGGAGTTGTCACTCTTTTTGTTCTGTGGAATCATGTAACCACTCCTACGTAAAACGAGCCCAGGCTAACCTGCTGGATGATGACAGAAATGTGGCCATCACCACAGTTATCACTGTACCAACCACAAGACAGTTAAGTGAGGTCTACCCAGTACCAAATGATCTGCTAACTCACACATGAGTGAGATCAGCTAATTGCAACTGAGAGGCCACAGACAAAATCTACCCAAAGAATTGTGAGAAGTACTAAATTTTTGTAAGCTGCTATATTTTGGAGATTTGTTTACAACAGAAAAGGCTAACTGATCTAGACAGGGCACAAACTCTTGACAAAAATCCATACGTATGTTTCACTTTTTACACAAATTTAAAATCATACAATTTGACTGATCGTATACCACTAAGCTCAGGGCCAAACATAATAATATTCATAGCACCTCTGTTGAAAGAGTCCCAAACTAGAAACCACTCAGATGTCCATCCATATTAACTTCCAAAATATCAAACTCATTGTCATCAAGTCAATTTTGACTCACAAGGACCCTATAGGACAGGACAGAACTGCCCCTGTGGGTTTCTGAGACTGTAACTTTATTGGAACAGAAAGTCTCATCTTTCTCCCACAGAGCAGATAAGTGGTTTTGAATGGCTAACCTTGCAGTTAGCATGCCCAAGGCATAACTCATTATGCCAACAGGACTGCTTATCCATAGTAAACAGGATAAGTTATAGTGTATGCATAAAACAGAATACTGTATAATAATAAGAACAAAAATTGTAACACAAAAAATGGCTGGATCCCACAAATATAATGTTGAGGGAAAGCAATTGGAGCCAAATATAGTACATACTATTTGATTCTATTTATATAAAAGATAATATAGTCCACCTTCCTGATACGATCACTGAAAACAAAGGTGTGCATAAGCAAAGGTGGTGAAGAAAGCTGATGGTGCCTGGCTATCAAAAGATAAGAGCATCTGGGGTCTTAAAGGCTGGAAGATAAACAAGCGGCCAACTAGCTCAGAAGCAACAAAGGCCACATGGAAGAAGCACACCAGTATGTGTGACCATGAGCTGTCAAAGGGATTGGGTGTCAGGCATCAAGGAACAAGAAATCATGTCATTGTAAAGGTGGGTGAGTGCAGAGTGGTGACTCAGAGTCCATCAGTTGGCAACAGAACACCCCCATGCTGAGGGGTTTTGGGGAGGAGACAAGCTAATCAGGGTGCAGGGTAGCAATGATGAAACATATAACTTTCCTCTAGTTCTTTAATGCTTCCTCCCCCCCCAGTATCATGATCCCAAGTATGCCTTGCAAATCTAGCTAGACCAGAGGATGTATATTGGTACAGATAGCAACTTGCAACACAGGGAATCCAGGATAGATGACTTCTTCAGGACCAGCGGTGAGGGGCTAGGCCTGGAGGGTGAAGGGAATGCGGGGTAGAAGGGGGGAACCAATTACAAGAATCTAAGTATAGCCTCCTCCCTGGGGAATGGATAGCAGAGAAGAGGGCGGAGGGAGATGTTGGACAGTGTAACTTATGACAAAACTATAATAATTTATGAATTATGAAGGGTTCAGGAGGGAGGGGGAGGGAGGGGGAAAATGAGCAAACGATATTGAGGGCTAACGTAGAGGGCAAATGTTTTGGTTTTTTTTTTGGAGGGCAAATGTTTTGAGATGGATGAGGGCAACAGGAGTACATATGTGCTTGACTCAATGGATGTATGTATGGACTGTGATAAGAATTGTATGAGCCCTCAATAAAATAATTTTAAAAAAAGAATAATGAGGGTAACAAATGTACAAATGTGTTTTATACAATTGATGTATGTATGGATTGTGATGAGTTGCATGAGCCCCCAATAAAATGACTTAAAAAAAAAAAGATAATATAGACACATGTATCAGTGGTATCCAATAGCCATGATAATTAACTGGGCGGGGTGGGGGGGGGGGAAGAGGGGTGTTGAGAGTAGTGAGATAAAGAGCTTTAAGAAGGTTTCTGGCTGCCAGTCATGTTCTAGTTTTCAAAATCATGGCTGTGTTCACTGTGTGAAAACTCACCAAAGTATAAACTTATAATCTGTGCCCCCTTCTGTGTGGATATTATACCTTAATAAAAGGGGGTGGGGGGTAGTCCTGGAGGAACACTACAAATTAGGTTAAGGGAGTTTTGCTGATAAATTAGTTAAGGATTAGACATAAAGCTAAGTTAGAATTAGTATGCTCTTCTTTCTTCGACTGTCCTTTTATGGATCCGATTTAGTTTCACAAAACAAGTGCATAAGGACAAACCTATGGCTCTCTCCCAGTCTCCTAAACTTCAGTCCAGTGGGGGGAAATATTGAATTAATGGTCAAGGGTAGATTCTCTAGATACCCTTTCCTACACCATATTCACTGCCATCAAGTCAATTCCAATTCACAGAGACCCTGTAGGGTAGAGCAGAACTGCTTCCTGTGGGTTTCCAAGGCTGTAAATGTTGATGGGGAGCAAAACCTCCTCTTTATCCCAAGGAGCAGTTGGTGGTTTTGAACTACTGCTGTGCAACTAGCAGTCCAACTCGTAAGCCACTATACCACCAGGGCTCTCCTGCCTACATCACAGAAAAGATACAATCCTAAGAACTTTAGAGTACAAAGAATATGGGCTTTAACACTGATATCTTCTTACCTGCCTTTATTCTAAAGCTGAAACAACCAAAGTAGTCCTTGTAATTGGCATGCTTAGTCACTAGGTAGCAAATCACATATTTATGGGTTATGCCACAGCTAGCAATCATGAGGATGCATCCACCTAAACTTCCTCTGCAATATCTTATTAATTACCCAAGAATCTTGAAGAGGTGGGGGCACTGTCTCATTAAGGCAGCGGTTCTCAACCTGTGGGTCGAGACCCCTTTGGGAGTAGAACGAACCCTTTCACAGGGGTCGCCCGATTCATAACAGTAGCAAAATTACAGTGACGAAGTAGCAATGAAAATAATTTTACGGTTGAGGAATCACCACAATATGAGGAACTGTATGAAAGTGTTGCAGCATGAGGAAGGTTGAGAACCACTGACTGTATTAAGGACTTGGAATCCACAACCCAGCCACATGCTGGCACAATTACAGTCCAATCGTACCCTATTTAATAACAAAAGTAGTTTTCATGCTGTACATTTTACATAGTTGAGGTGAAAATTCTTAATCATAAATATGAAATTAATGCTTCCTGACCTTACATAAGGATCTTGGTGGCACTGTGAGGTAATCCTTGGACTACTAACCAAAGGCCAGCCGTTCAAGCTCATCAGACACTGTAGGAGAATAATCAGGCTATGTGATATGGTAAATATTTACAGCCTCAGAAACCCTGTATAGGGTTCACTATGAGTGAACACAGAGTGCATGGGAGACTTTATTATACAGATGCCCTGGTGGCACAGTGGTTAAATGCTTGGCTACTGACCAAAAAGTTTGCAATTCAAACACACTAGCCACTGTTCAGTAAAAAGAGGTGGTAGTCTGCTTCCATAAAGAATTACAGCCTTTGAAACACTATGAGGCAGTTCCACTCTGTCCTGTAAGGTTGCTATGGGTTGGACCTGAATCCATAGCAATGGGTTCAGAAGTTTACATAAAGAGCTGCTCTTTGAAAGAAAATGTATAAATGCATTTAAAAGATCACTGAAATAAACTTGCAAGTATCACAGCAACAAAGCTTGTGATATAGTGAAAACAACCAGGATTGGGACTCGAGATGCCTAGTATGATACCTAGTAGTTAGCTGGAGAACAAACAATTAATGACAAATGAATGATCCAGAGTCAAGATATTTTAGGAAAATTATTTCTTCTCTCACCATATTTCTATTTCCTAATTGCTAAAATTAGATTGTAATGAAGACTAAATGAGTTAATGCACATAAAATACTAAAAACAGTCCAGCACAGTTAGTACTCAATATACATAGTAGATGACTGAAAAATTTACCATATATACTCAAGTATAAGCCAACCTGAATATCAGCCAAGGCACCTAATTTTACCACAAAAACTGCATTAAAAATGTGCTGGAAAACTTGGCTTATACTTCAGTATATATGGTAGTTCTACTTGCTGCCCCATCTAGCTATGTCTATTTACTTATGCATACAATAAGAAAGGTTGGAACAGATAATCATTAAAATCTCCTTGAGACTTTAATTTCTGCCTCCTTCTAAACTCGAATGCTGTCAGATGATGTTATCAGTGGCACTTAAATGTGTTTCCTTTTAACACAAAAGGCAATTTTTGGTGACTGTAGTTTTTGTTGAAACTGTCTTAAGGACTTGAACATGCATGGCTAAAATTACACACACACATACACACAAAACTTCAAAATAGGACAACTAATGCTTAAGTATTTCATTTCTTAAGACAGACAACAGATGTACAAATGTGCTTGACACAATTGATGTATGTTTGGATTGTTATAAGAGTTGTACGAGCCCCCAATAAAATTATTAAATGAAAAAATTTAAAAAAAGAAAAGACAGACTGGAAGCCGAAATTTAAAGTCCACATCAAGAAAGGAATGCACTCTTGATACTCCAAAAGGTTTTATTGTATTCTTACCTTTTTATTTCAAACCTACAGAAAATCAGAACCAAAGAACAGAAACTTTCTAAATCACTCAATTAAAGATTTTTTAAAAAACAAAGACTAAAAACATCTTACCTGAGCATGAAAATTGGACATAGTCGTTGTCTCTATATCTTTCTTTCCCAATATCTCCATTTTCACTGGCGAATTGGGAAAATTAAATGAAAAATAGTCTAAAAAGTCAGGTAAATAAGTAGCTGCCCCATGAACAATACCCATTACATAGAACGCTGCAGAGTTTTCGTTTTCACTGAACACCAGTCCCACAAACTCTTCTGCAAACCTCTCCATCTCCACAGGAGACAAGTGCAAGAGCTCATTACTGTAGGCATGGATAACTGAAGCACCTCCGTTAGGCTGGTGCTCAATATGAATGAGCTGTTTGAACTGCAAAGTGTCCAACCTTCTGAGGTTATTCTGAACCCGTGGCTCCTTTAATGAGACAAATGGAAACTCACTGTTCTCTGGTATTTTGGAATCACAGTTCTTGGTATCCAAATTCTTTCCAATGTAATCCTTGATGTTATCACTTAGGATCCCTTTGGCATCTTGATCTTCCACATCAGATAGCAATCCTGAACAGATGGTCTGAATAGATTTGCTATACATTTTTGGACGTTTCCGTTTTTCATTCTCTTTGTGTTTCTTTTTCTTTTTCTTCTTTACCTTTTTGATTTGTAAATCTTCTATATTTATTTTTGATTTCTCCTTCCCACCTGTTGGGAAAAATTTTTTTTGAAACGCCATACTTTACTAAGACAAAACAAAAGAGCCAACAACCATTCTTTATGAAATGTACTGTAATAAATCATCAAAATTACTCTGGATTAGATTTCCATTTGCAATTTTGTTTTACACAGTATCAATAATAAAGATCCCGTTAGCACCCTACTCCACACACAAATGGGAAGGTTTAGGACAAAGTTATACAGTATGTATTCCCATTTTGACATCTGCCATATGCTCTACAGTTTGCTGAAACATCTAATGTCTGAGTATTTTAGAAAATATAATCTTTAAATTTTAAAATCAAGAAATCAAACATGAAAGTTGAATAAAAGTCAATACCAAAAAATCCCTTCAGATGTTTTCTTCTGATATATGCTGTTAATTTTACTTTATCTCAGGCTAAAAATTATATCAAGTCAAAAAGGCCTCAAGACTTATAAACATAAAAAGGAAAATATATGCATGGTACATATATGCAGCAACAAACAGAAATTCCTTAGCTTTCCCCCATATTTCCTTTGTAGCAAACTGCTCTTGTCCCTAAAAGGGTCCATGTTAGGTCTACATAATGACCCTGTACTATAGAACAGAGTAGAACTACCCCATAAGGTTTCCTAGGCTGACCTCTTTATGAGAGCAGATCATCATGAGTTTTTTTTCTCTTACAGAGCAGCTGGTGGTATAAACTATCAGCCTTTTGGGGAGCAGTCAAACATTTAATCAATGCATAGCCCTTCCTCCTCCTCTTCTGACCACCAACCTCCTCATCAAGAACCATCTATATGTCAGTATCAACCCATTATTATACCACTATTTGTATCCCTTAAAGTCTGGGTCTGCTTCTAATATACTGAAATTAGCTTTCCCAGAATGCCTACATAACAAATCCAATGATATGTTCTCAAACCATTCTTCTCAGTATCTCCACATTTATATCCAGTTCATCTTTTAACTGCTTTTAGTTCACTTCTTTAATACTATAGGTAGTCCCCAACTTATGCTATGTTTGAGTTACAAGAGTTACATGTAGGACCATCAAGGTTCTTGTCTTATTGTTAGCAATAGGTTAGGTTCTATAGAAATTTGGTTCTATAGGTATGTGTCACTCAACGTACAAGAAGTGTTCTGTGAAAGAGAACATTAGATGTACTTGGGATATCATGTGCATACCATGTTATAAACAAGAAGTCCCTGTATAGTTAATCTCTGTAAATCAAGCCAAAAATTCACTCCCATCTAGTTGGTCCAACTCATAGCAACCCTATATAGCATTTCCAACACTGTAGTTCTTTATGGCAACAGACAGCCTTGTCTTTCTTCCATGGAACACATGGTGGGTTTGAACCCACAGTGCCATCACATTTAAACCACGCAAAGTCTGAGCACTGTTTCCACTGGTTATAGGAGGATGGAACTTGTCAATCAGTGGCTGGGCCAGGCAGGGACTTCACTGGCACCCAGAATGGGAATCTGTACCGATTCTGGCACTAGGTAGGGGAGGTGTTGGCACCAAGAGTTGGGTGCAGGGACTCGGTGTGCAGGTGCTGGGAGTAAGGCTGGCAATGGTGGTCTGGACTGCCTGCCACCCTGTTGGTATAACCACTTCCCAATCATGTGCAGCCACATCCTAGAGTCCCTGGGCCTGACTGGTGCTGCCGACAGCAGGCAGAGAGCAGAAGCAGAAAAGGGAGAGACACTGCCCTGTATGGAGAGTAAAAGACTGCATATGGATGCTGGTGAAGGAGCAAAGCCAGGAGAAAAGAAAAAGGAGGTCGCCGCTATGGAGACTGAGATGTGCCCTAGATCCCAGTGTTCATTCATTCTCAGATTCTGAGTCTTTAAAACCTTTAAGGGGAAACAATCAAGCCAAAGAAAAGAGTTTTCTTCTCTTTAAAAAACATACACTGTATTGGACCACAAACACATGGCTAGATATTAAGATAATGAGCAAAGCATGTCTATACACAGTGTTGCAGTACATAATTTGCTGATGTTATCATTCTCAAACATTCACTAGCAGATTCTCAATGCTATAATTTATAAAGAAGCTGATAAAAAACAATAATGAAAACTTAAACAAAAAAAGAAGTGTGGAACTTATGTTAGATGGAGTCCTTGGAATAAAACTCTGCAGTAAGTCAGGAACTACCTGTGCCACCTTAATTTTTGGTATAACTGCCTCATAATGGTCTCTTATCCTATAGGAGGGAACCAAATTAATCTTCCTATAATTACAATATATTGTTTTGATCATATTCGTACTTTAGCTTAACTGCCTTTGGGGCTCTCAAACAAAGTACAGACACCATTTAACATGTGATCCCAAACCAATGTCCTCAAGTATCTGATGCTCTGATTAAACTGTACTACTTACAATTTTATTTAAAATATATTTAAATAATTTAGATATTTAAAATATATATATTGTCCCACGTTATCTCTGTACTACTGGCAAAGACATTTCTTCTCTCTGAAATGCCTTTGCTCTGTCCAGTACTGACTGCCAAAAAAAAAAAAAAGACAGACTTGTCTAGTTTCTTTCCTTTTGCTTCCTTTCATCTCTCTAGTTGTAATCCACTTCACTCTAAATACATATAAATTAAGTATTTGCTTGCTGATGATCAATCCCTCACCAACTGCCATAAAGCTGATTTTGACTCAGTGACCCTACAGCGCAGGGTTGAATTGCCCCTGTGAGTTTCCGAGGTTATAACCATTTATGCGAGGCCTTAGTCTAGTCTTTTTCCCTTGGAGCAGCTAATGGTTTCTAACTGCTGACTTGTGGGCTGCAGCCCAATACTTAACCACTGTACCACAAGGGCTCCTTACTCAGGACAAACTGCATGAATGAAACAATTTCTGAATAAAAGTACTGTTACAAATGAACACTTAATATCTATGAATGAAAAGACCTTTCTTTAACAACAGAACACCTGAGGTTTATGTTCTTCATTTGTGTCCTTTCTGTCAAGTTATAATATCACATGAATACCACTAAATCTCAACCCTAGAAACAACTATAACAATTTCCTCAGGTTCCTAGGACTTCCATGAAAAGTTTAACAATAAATGATCACTTCTAAAAATTTATATCTATGCACTGAATATCAAAATGGTATAATCAAGAAGAGGAAAAATAAAATTTTGCCAGCATTATTCATTGTATAGGCTTAAAAGTCACAAAAGACAAAGTGTTGGTTCTCTAGAGTCTATATGCAGGAAGTTAAGAAAAATTCTGAATGTCAACATATTTACCACAACATGAACTATCAAAGCATTAAAAAAAAAAAAAGAAAAGAAAAGAAACAGGAAAAAAGCCATTGTCATGGAATGAACTCCAATGCAATGGCTAATTTTTAAGAAGGAAACTGCCCCAAGTCAACTCAGAGCTCCAACCATTTGGCTAGCACATTTGCACTGCCCAGTGACTCCATCAAAACATGAGAATTAGCTTAAGTTCCTATCTGAAAAACAAACATCAAAACACGGGATTAACCAAAATGAGAGATGAAAAAGGTATACATGAAAAAGCAACATTCTGAGGGAGGGAAGATGGGGAAGTGGGAAAAAGGAGCTGATACCAAGGGCTCAAGTAGAAACAAAATGTTTTGAAAATGATGACGGCAACATATGTACAAATGTGCTTTAAACAATGGATGGATGTATGGATGGTGATAAGAGCTGTACAAGCCCCCAATAAAATGATTTTTTTTTAAAGGGCAAAATTTAAATAAATTCTGAGGGTGGGGAAATAAAAAGCAGGTGATTAAGCATGTCTAAACCTGTTAACTCAAAATACATATAAAATTGCACAAATTAGCTAGTTTGCCAGAATTAATTTCCTTTAAATGAAAATATTAAATATAGCCTATTTATTACATTTATAGCCATAACATACATTATAAAGTTCATCTAGAAACTACCCAATCATCATATATTACTTTGTGATAAAAATCAGAATACTTTATTTTCTCCTTATGAGAATATACAGGAAATATTTTAATAATCAGAAACTTAAAAATTAAAACTATTAAGAGATTCCTAATTGATCAAGGAGTTGTTAAATTCCCATGGAAACCACTTTGTAATTAACTACTAAAGTGAGTACAGTGCACAGAAAAGAGTTAACATAGCAGGCCTGTGACAGCTAGACTTACAAATGCCAGCTAGCTTTGGCTACATGTCGGGATTTGGATGTCGAGAGGGTTCTCACTATCCCCTAACAAGATGGGCTCGCTGTACCTAACCTACTTGTACAAACAACATGGTATACGCTGAAGTCTGGGAATTGATCCTTGCTAGGTAGAGAGTGCCTATGTAACCCATGCCCAATCAAAACACACAGTAGAGTCTCTAATGAACTATCTGGTAAACAACATGTCATGTGTTGTCACAATTCATTGCTGGAGGAATTATGCAGGTCTTATGTGGATCTGCTGCTAACTGTAAGGCCAGCAGTTCGAATCCACCATCCACGGCATGGGCTAAAGATGAAGCTGTCTGCACCCATAAAGACTTAATAGCATCGGAAACATGAAGGAGCAGTTCCAACTCTGTTCTATCAGGTTGCTCAGTCAGAATTGACTCAATGACAGCCAAGTGGTTTGATTTTTGGTTTGGGTGGACACACACACACCACACACCACACACACACACACCACACACACACACACACACACACACACACACACACACCACAC